GGAAGTCCGAGGCTGACCTGGACAAAATTAGCATGAGACCTTATCAAAAAAAAAACTAAAAGCCTAAGTAATAAAGGCATAACTCAAATGATAGAACACTTATTTCAACCCCCAGTAATGAAAGTAAAAGTTGAATATGCTAATTTGATAGCCCAAACTATAATTTATGTCCATAGTTCAATAACCAAAATGGGATTTCCAATCAACTATATTTATTATAAAATACATCAGAGAGAATAATGGACAAAACCCTTATTTCTCACCAAGAGAAGATGGGTAGAATTATCCAGCCATTAAACATTATAACTTCAAAGCCTTTCTCATGAAATGAAGAAAATGTTCATGATGTAATGTGACCCAATTACTTATTAATTGATTCAACTCACTCATTCAAAATATGTTTGCTAAGTACCAAGTTCAAACTACATGAGAGCTTGTCATATGGTCCCAGTCTCTAAAAAGTATATGGTCTAGCGAGGCTCTGGTAGTTCATGCCTGTAATCCTAGTTACTCTGAAGGTTGAGCTGAGATCCACAGTTTGAAGCCAGCCTGGGCAGGAAAATCCATGAGACTCCTATCTCCAATTAACCACAAAAAGCTGGAAGTGGAACTGTAGCTCAAGTGGTAGAGCACTAGCCTTGAACACAAAAGCTCAGGAACAACATCCAAGCCCAGAGTTCAAGGCCCAGCACCAGCAAAAAAAAAAAAAAAGTGTATATAGTCTAGTGTTTTAATGCTAACATTCACAACAGATTGGTAGTGTTTCTTTCCCAAGGTTTACTTTCCTTGTCTATGAAATAAGAAGATTAAACTAGATCATCGCTAAGGTCTCTACAACAATTGGGTTCTGAAAGTAGAAACAGAAAACTTTATTTAGTCAAGCACAAACCATCATTTGTTGTATCTAAGAGGCCATGACTCAATTAAAAATGGAATAGTAGCATACACCTACTGCTTGTATCTTCATTTATCTAAGACCGATGGGTTTCCTGGGATAGAAAACCATTAGGTGCAAAACCCAGAGAATGTCAGGCGAGCTGTGATGGTGGTCACCTTAGCTCCATCACAAGTTACTAGAGAACTGGACACCTGGCTCAAGTGGTAGAGCACCAGCTGTGAGTGGAAAAGAGAAACCCAGTTTTTGAGGTTCTTATTTCAAGCCCCAGTGCTAGTGCAAAAATAGCCACATAAACAAATAAACACTAAAAACCAAGTTATTAGACTTAAATGCTCATTTTAATTGTAATGACAGAACCCCCAACTGATGGTTTGCTTGTTATTGGAATCATTTCATATGCAAAAGAAAACAAAGAATAGGGATTATGACATGAAGTAAAAATCCACTCAATTGTCAAAATGTTTCCAAGAAAAATACATTTGACATGAACGTTAACCAAGACCACAATATCTTATGATTATCAATTGTACCACCATCAATCTCTTGGTGTTAGATGTTTTAAAACTAGAATACTTGTTTAGAGATTAGAAGGAACCCTGACTGCCAGAAGTCTTTTAATATTTCAATTAGAGGCATATTTTCAGCTTCTAAAAACTGTGACTTTAAATGGCATATTATAATTTTGTTCTCAAAAAAATGCAGTGTTCTTTTAAAGATTATTCAAATACGACTGCTCTCTAAAATTCTCATCTCTCTTTTATCTCCTCATTTACCACATAGATCAGTACAATGAGGCTAACCCCAATTATATTGTTCCTTCAAAGTGGAGCAAAAGAACCCCAAGGGGCTTGTGGGGGACCCATGGGGTTCCTAGCACACAGCAAAGCCTGCTCTAGGGGCAGGAGCTTCTCACATGAACGCTAACAGGAACTGAGCCCTTCTCCCCCGGTCCACTTGGCTTCAAAGACTCCAAGGTCTTTAACAATGCCTTCAAGAAGTCAATGCTCGGATAAAATCCTTTTTATTAACTAGTAAATTCAGGACCCCGGGACTTGGTGGATTCACCAGGAATCATTCAGATGGATTTGAGACTACGAACAAGGAACAAGAGGATTTGATTCATTTATGTTGTTTCTTGGGATGTTTCCACTTCCCTCCTCCCTAAAGACCAAAGGCTCTTAATGGCGGCTGACAAACATTCCTGAAACCTCTTTGCAAAGTTACAAGATGGCGGCTCCTAAACTTTGGACCAATTAACCACTCACTTAGGCAGTTCATCAAATCTCCAATCACTGAATTCTAGACTTGTTTTTTTGGTATTATCATCACTGTGCCTTATTTGTCCTCCTCTGACCCCCACAAAAATCATTTCCAACACACAGCAACCCCCATCCTCCATCCTAACCTCCTCCCCATCTGTGACCCCCAGATATGTCTTCCTCATGTCTAGAGCTAAATAAATGCAGTGGTGATAGGGAAAGAGACAAAGAAAGCTTCCTTTCTTGCTCTAGCTTTGGGGACTTGGGAAGTGACTAGTATTCATTTAAATAAATTATATACTCACTTAAAAAGAAATGAATCTGAAGAACAGAGGGACAGAGTCCATTTCTTTCCCTATTGCTGCTGGTACCTTTACAAGTTCTGTGTAGAGACAGGATGCTGCCTGTCTGACCAGAAGCCCTGTTTCTGTTTTAATCACTGGGCTAATAAGTGAGTGCTTGCAATACACCAAACACCACATTTTATTTGCTCACACTTAACCCCCTCCATCCTTTGGGATAGGTAGTGTTGTTCATCCCACTTTAGAGCCAAGGAAACTAAGCTTTAAAGAGACACAGTGACTTCCCCCAAAGAAACACAGCTCTTCCATTGCAGTGCTGGGATTTAAAACAGTGTTGGCCTTGTTTCAGAGCTCATCTATTGCTGCCTAACTCAATTCATACTCTCCTTCCAACCCCCAGAGGCTGTTACAGAGCCTCCTCTTAGGAGTGACTCCCTACCATCACGCACTGCTTGGGATGTGGCAACATCTCTCTCCTCCTCCCAGGAAGAACTAGAAACACAGAAGAGTGTCCCTAAATCTACCTGAAGGAGCAGACTGAAATTCTCTATGTCCACCAATGACCCACCTTCTTTCAGATAAACTCCAAGAGCACCCAGTCTACTTGAAAAGAAAAGTCAGAAAATCAGATTAAGAGACTTGGGTAAGGTTCTAGACCAAACTTGCTTTGGGAATTCTTAAACTATATTGCTTTCCAGGCAGTGGTAGGTTTTATTTTGTTTTATTGTAAAAGAAGCTGTATAGAAAGGTTACAGTTACATAAGTAAGGTAATGAGTACATTTCTTGTCAAGCATTGTTACTCTCCTCCTTTGATAAACAAAGTGGTAGGCTTTTTTGTTTATCTAGCTCTCTCTTTTCTTCATTCCGGTTCACTTGCTACCCCAAATCCTAACACTTTCATTCTGTACAGCCTTCCAGGGTCATGGTGCCATCTACCAGAATAGCCTCAAATAGACACAAAGGGGTACCAAAAATTCATCAGTGAGCTTGACACCGATGGCTTACATCTGTGATCCTAGCTACTCAGGAGGCTGAGACCTGAGGATCCTGGTTTGAAGCCAGCCCAGGGAAGGAAAGTCTGTGAGATTCTTATCCCCAATTAACTACCAAAAAGCCGGAAATGGAAGTGTGGATCAAGCGATAAAACACCAACTTGGAACAAAAAATCCAAGTGGAAAGCGGAGGTCCTGAGGTTCCAGACCCTTTACTACTAAACTCTCTGTGTCTCACTCTCTCTTTCTGCAGACATCTCTGCAAGACAGGAAGAAATGCTATAGAGATTAAGAATATAAGATTATCATTGTTGGATTTTTACCCTCTAACTTCAAAGAATACAAAAGTGCATTCTGTCATAACGTGCCCTTGCAAATCCACGCCCCCCCTCAAAGTTTTAATCTCTTATGTCTGGAGGAAATGTAATCATATTCCCCCTCCGGTCTAAAGTTGTGTTCAATGAACGAGCTCTAGCTTAAAGCTGATTTTCCCAGGGGCTTCTTCGGGGGTGCTCTCTGGAGCTGCTGCACTCTGAAGCTAAGAATCAGGTTTCTGTGGGGGGTTTCCATAGTGGCTTTTCCACCCGTGGTCCTCCCAGCCCGCCTCTCGCCCTCCCACCAACGAGGACACAACTTTTACACCCCAACCAGAGAGCTGGGATGTCAGAGTTTGAGCCAGGCTTTCCCCAAGCCTCCTGAAACCACAAGCGGATGGGTCGTTCCATGAAGGGTCCAGTCCCAAGGCCAGGGCCACGGGCGATCCCTTTCGCGGGCACGCGGGGCATGCAACCCACAGCCCAAGTCCTCCACTGAGCTCTGGCTTCCGCGGGGGGAACTCGCTTCTCCGCCCCGGAGCTGGCGTTTTCCCCCTTGCGCGTGAAGGTGGCCCCGTCCTGCCCAGCTGCCCTGTTAATTTTATTTTCCTTTCTTTTCTGGCTAAGGGCGGGGGGGGGGGGGTGCGCTTGGCCTCTCCCCCCTCCCCCCAGTGTGTCATTCCCAGACAAAAAGCCAGCCTGGCGGGGACCGGCTTCTCCCTGCAGCCAGCGGTGCTGGCGACACCGCACCCGGCCACCCGAGGCCCTGGCTGCGCGCGCGCACGCGGGCTGCGCCTTCGTGGGCGCCGACAGGGCCCCGCCGGGGGCTCCGCGGAGGACGACGGGGCCGTGCCAGGCAGGAGGCCGGGAGGGGGAGGCCTGGAAGGAGAGGCCCAGCAGGGAGGGTGTGTGGCGGGGAGGGGGGACAGAGGAGGGAGGGGAGGGCGGGATGGAGGAGATGAGGTGGCCCAGCAGCCAATCCGCGCGCAGCTCATCAGCTGACCGCTTTTGCTTACACCAGGTGCACGCCGGCTGCGGGGAGCACAAAGCGGGGCGCACGGAGGGCGCCGGGCTGCGAGCTGGGGAGCCAGGCCAGGCCCGGGGGAGGGGGCCCCCGGGGCTGCGGCGCCTTCCGGGCGGGGAGCGGGGCCGGCGGCGGCGGCGGTGGCCTCCTCTGGACCTGCCCGCCCGCTGCCCCGCCCTCTGCACCCCAGTTCTTTTCCCCTCCCTGCCCACTCCCGCCGGCCTCCAGCCCGGCCCCCCCACCCCCCCAGCCAGATTTAGCCCAGCCCCGCACGGCGGCCGCTGGAGTCGCTGCTGGCCTCTGGCGGGGTGCTCGGCCGGCGGGTCCCCCAGGAGCGCATCCTCCTCCCGCGTGCGCACCCCGACATCCACGCCTGCCGGGCCTTGGGGTAAGTGCGCCCTCCGCCTGGGCCGGAGGGAGGGAGGTCGGGGGGAGGCAGCCAGGGTGAGGGGAAGTCGAGGCAAACTTAAGGCGCAGAGGACGCTGGAGGGGCCGTGGGGAGGGGATCGCCAGCCTCAGGGGGGCCGAGGGGGCGCGGCTCCCGGAGCTCAGGAGCACTGAACCCCCTCCTTCCCCACACACACCCCGCCAAAGACAAGACTCTGGGGCTCGGTGGAGAGCGGTGGTTGGGAGGGCAGGCCAGACCGATGGACACACACGCGCGCGCGCGCGCACACACACACACACATTAGGCAGGGGCTGGAGCGCAGCACGCTGGATTCAGGGACCCGCAGTTTGGGGATTGGGGGAAGAAAAGGAGGACTGCATTGGAATCTGAAGTCGGCCAGGCAGCTAGGGGACCCGAGAAGGGCTGGGAAGGGGAACCCCAGGACGTCACGGAAGAGGCCAGAGAACGCAAAGAAGGGGGGCAGGTTAGGTCTTGGAGACGGCCTGGTCAGGGAGAGAAGAGGCCGGTGTGGGGGGGTCGTGCACACAGCACTGGGAGCTGAAGTAGAAGGTGGTCCAAGGACGGGAGCGGGGTGCGCCCCGGACGTGGCGATGGTAGAAAGGACACCCCACCCCCCCACCCCCGCCCCAAGGAGACTCCCGAGGGGAGTGAAGTATCTGAAAGACTCCCCGGTCCTGTCCGGGAGACCAGCAGCCACCAGCCCCTGCTCGGCGGCGCTGGAAAGTTTGCCAGCGCGCGTCTTTGTGCGGTGTGGAAGGGGGTATGGGCTCCCCAGGACGCGATCCACACTTGCTTCCTAGGGTCCCTGGGCCACAGCCCCCAGCAGCGGGAACGACAGCCCTGGCCGACTGGGGCTGAGTGGACAAAGTCCAGCCGTTGGCCGGGGGCTGCTGGCTCCTTGGGCAGATGGGAAAGTTGGTCCCGGGGCTCTGATTACAGGGCAGCCGGCGCGGTGGGAACCCACTGGAAAGAAGCTGACAGGTAAACTAGACTCCTGCAGAAGTCCAGTTCACCCAGATCGTCCCACAGCCTAGTGTGAGTGAATGAATGAATGAACGCACAAACGAGTGGTCAGCGTGTAAACCGTTGTGTGTGAGCCACCTTTTGGCAAAAGCCAAGGATTCAGAATACAGGTTCCTCCAAATCCCAACTCGCTATTATTTGTGTTTTCATGATCGGAGCCTGGTAATCAAGGGAGGAGGAATGGGAACGTTCCCTAAGGGAACGGGTACTGCCGACCTAGGCTGGTTTGTTTTTGCTTTGTTTGCTTTGTTTACGGGAGTTTCAGAGACCTTAGGTTGTATTGTTTTGTAAGCTGCTTTGCCACAACGGGCTGAGAAATCAGTGTTCCTCCATTGTGGCCATTACCCCATTTCTAACAGCTAGAAGGAGAGGGGGATTTACGTGGAACTCTAGATACCAATGATGTTATTAGCTCCAAAAGTCTCTGATTTGCATGCAAATGTGAGCGGGTCTTGGCAGATGTCAGCCTTGGGCATTCACATGAAGGAATTTGAAAAGACAAGGAGTCTTCCGTTAACAATAGACCTTAAGAAAATGGAATAAAGGCACAGTGTGAATTTTTTTTTTCTTGTTTGGGAATTCCATAGCTTTCCTGACACCTTTATTCTGGAGACAAGAGTCTTAGAGTGGAATTATATTGAAAGCTCCAAGACAATTTGCTCTTTACCTGCTGCCTCACATTCAATGCTGATAGATATTCTCAGCTAGTTAGGAAACAGTTCTTACAGGAGGCAGACAGAAACTTTCATCCACTTCTGGTGGCTTGGAGCGATTTGTCACTTGACTCAACTTTGGAGTTTCTTGGCTTATTTTTCTCTCTCTCCTGTGAGTAACTCTTTTGGTCACCATCCTCACAGATGACCAATACAGAAGACAGCTGTCACTGATGGGCATAAAGATCTCATTAGAACTGTGCCGTGCCAGTCAAAAATCACCCAGATTTTAAGCATCCAAACTTGTAGAACCACAAGCAATGAAACCCTCCCATTCCTACTAACAGGCATGGGCTTGGGGGTCATAGTATAAAACAATGAAAAGGAGACAGTTGTCCATTGCATCCCCAAAGCAAGAGGCTTTCTTCCTTGGCTAAGATTAGCTGAACATAACCACACTATTCACCTCCTGGCTCTGGCTGACTATTGAACAAAAGCCCAGCAGAGGCCTGGACTTTACCTTCGGACAAACCAGCACCAGTGGCCTCTTCCTTTGTCCATCCCATACACTGTGGAAGGGAGAAAGAATCCATTCACCAAACAACATTTGCCCCTGCATTCTATATATCCACTGAGAGGGGTATGGAAACATAACAACAGAAAGACAGCATTGTTTTGGAAGGTTCAGTGTTTAGGGGGGCGGAAGGGGGAGAGCAGATGTTACCCTGGTATTTTACATGCTTCCTAAAGTTGTTGTTTTTTTTTTTTCTAGTTCAGTGCCTTTTGTATATAAAGCAGTTTATCCTCAGGAGGAGGGAGAAAAAAGTGAATTGAGCCCAGTATTAGTAAGAAAATGTTATAGCCAAGTTTGCACGTTCTGTCTTAGAGCTGGCTATATAGAAGTCAGAAAAGTAGCAAATCATTGTAATAAATTCTTATGTGACTCTTAAACCTGGGCCTCTGTCTTCGTGATGGAGCTGAGGAATAGCTATGAAATGAAGGTGATTGTTTCTCAACTAAGACTATGCACTATTTTGTTGTAAACTTAGCATCAGAGCCTCATATTTCTGAATCTTTATCTTTGCGATTACCCTGCAGAGGTGAGATTGTTCTTCTGCAAATCTAATGAAGGGAAAGATTAAGGAGCTCATTCCTTAGGACACAAGAGCACTTAATGATTAGGAAGGATCACTATGCTAAATAAAGGAATCTCAGACCAGATCTTACTGCTGACTACAATGCTGGAAAATAATGGCATGTAGCTCTGGTTAGTGTCTGAAATTCTAAAAAACAAACAACAAAAGGTGGACTAGGCAAGTGGACCACTGATCCCTGTTGTTAGAACCTGCTGCCTCTAAATTCTTGACCTCAGCTGCTAGAGTTATTATAAACTTTCTATAGTAATGACACTCTAGGGAAAACAGCAGATACGTGTGTGTATACATATATATATATATATATATATATATATATATATATATATATATATATACATACATATATATTGCTATAGAGTTATAGTGCTACTTCCCAAGTCAATTGACTTTAGGAATAATCAGAATTATAGGCTTTATATGTCACTTTAAGTAAGGCATAAAACATAAATAAGACATAGTAAATTGTAGGATTTAGATGTCACTTTTACTAGATTTTCACAATACTTTTTAAGATTTATTTTTAAGCTGCAAAATAATTGTTCTCCAAATGATTCATTTGAGCGATAATGTAAGGTTACTTAAATATTAGGTTTGATTTTTAAAAATTATTATGCTGAACATCTATTTTGGGTTAAGCCAGTCTGGAGATAAAGCACATTCCATTTTAGGATCATATTTTGGTTTCTGGGAACAATGAAAATATCTTTAACTCAAGAATAGAGCTTTGATTAATATTTTATCCAGGATGAATTGTAATTATATAGATAAAATCAGAAAACCATATATTTTCTGTGTTTTGGCTCCAAGTACAGACCAGAGACACAAGTTACAAAATTCAATATTTTAGTGACCACAGGAACTATTTGTCTCAAAAGTCTTCTTAAATGAAGTTTGCTTCAAAATTTTCTTGTTTTAGCATGCTACTTTATGGATGGGTAACAGAGTATAGCTTCCATGTTTCCAAAATACACTAAGTCTATAATAAATTGCTTCTTGAATACCAATCTATGATAAGATGATTATGTATTTCAAGACTGAATGGCCACTTTGTATAAACATTAAGTGTATAGTTAATAAGGAAACACCCTTTTTATGGTACAGTGTTGTTTTTCTTTTAAAGAAACAATATGCAGGAGTACATGCTATCAGAATCTTTTGTTTGTTCGTTTGTTGTGTTTTGTGTGAACCAGTTCTAGGGCCTGATCTCAGGACCTGGGTGCCATCCCTGAGCTTATTTTTGCTAAAGGCTAGTGTTCTATGGCTTGAGTCGCAGCTCCACTTCTGGCTTTTTTTGGTAGTTAATTGGAGATAAGAGTCTCATAGTCTTTCCTGCCTTTGGCCAGCTTTGAACCATGATCCTCAGATCTCAGCCTCCTGAGTAGCGAGGATCACAGTGCCCAGAAGTTCTTTTTAACCTCTGGAATGTTTTCAATAAGCTCTAGCAAAGATAAGATCTCATTTGCAATTTTGCCAGTAGTTTGGTTGATAGGAAGCTATTACCAGTAAGAGCTAGGGGAGCTAGGATCACTTTCTTCACCTGCCAGCTGTCAGATTCCTCGGTTGTATCATAGTACAGTGGGGCCAGTAGAGCTGGAAGAACTATTTCCAGAATCAGTTAGAATGCTAAAAGGTTTATAAAAGCTATGCTTTTCCAAGACGACAGTGCTTAAACATTTAACTCAGATGGAACCTTGCACCTCTAGAGCACTGGGATGCCGAGAACTGGACTTCAGCTGGCAAGGTCCTGCCCAACCGGCCTTTCAGAGTACCCTCTGCGAAGATGCACCGGCATCCACTTACGCCACTCACTTTTAAAAGCTGTGGAGTGAAAACTGCTTTTATGGTGCCTTATTGCCTTCCATTTACACTCTCCATAGCTCAGAGGTTGAAATGTTATTTGAAAGCTCTGATTAATGTAAATGAGTTGTAATTTTCTGACCCAGGCTGTCTAAGCTCCGTTCTTTTATACCCCTGGCAGGCCTGTGGACTCCACAGCTGTCCTCATTTGTGTATGAAACAGACACACACTGGTGGCATTTGGGGGTTACCATAGTTACCTTAACAATATCCACGTGACATGACATCGGCCTGTGTGAAAGGTTTTGGTGACAGATATTTTGGAGAGCCAGGAGGAGAGAAGAACAAC